GTCTCATGACATTGACCACAGTTTACCACAATGCAACAGATCCCCTCCCACTTCCTCCTAATAGTTACTCAAGGCTGTAACCTTTATGGAAGTAGACTGCCACATCTTTCTCCCACGGAGTAGTTTGTGGGTTCAAACCACCAACCTTTTGGTTGGCAGCAGAGGGTTTAACCAGTGCCTTTGACTTCTAAAGGGAAGTTTCTTTGTTATTGTCCCTTGACCAATATCAATACACTGCCATTCAAGTGCAAGGCAGATTATTGAGTCATTTTAGCAGATTTCTATGCTCTAGTCAACCTCTGACAGAGAGAGAAAAAAAGTCATTTTAAAAAATGAGAAGTGAAACTAAAAAGAAGTGCATTTTTAATGGAGTATAATATGAGTTTGAACTGGGCAATCTATTTCCATAGAGATATCACCTCAGAAACCCAAGGAGGGGTTGTTATGAGTCAGGATCAACTCGATGGCAGTGAGTTTCATTTTTTTTTTCAATATGAGTTTCATGTTACAAAAACTCAAAAGCTCCATTTTGTGTACACTTGGTCTCATCGCACATACCCTAAATGAATCTGAGTTAGATATGTATGTGCTATTTAGGAGACCTTGACAAAGCTAGCCTCGAAACTACAGAACTTAGGTTAAGAAGCTGAGAGTAATGCCCAAACTTAGTGACGGTAGGATATATGATAAACATGAAGACCACCACATTATGTTTGTATATCACTGTTTATCATTTTGAAATTATGTGTTTATTCTCTATTTCTCACATAAGACTCTAAGCACCTGAGCCCATGGCCCATCCATGTCTTACTCATTGCTCAGCACATATTTCTCATGTTTAGCAAGCACATAGCTGGCACTGAGCAAGTATTTGTTAACTGCCAACTCACTAATTGACAAACTAAATCCATTAATATACGTTTAAAATGTCATTTTCATTCTTACCTTTACATTACTTGTTTTCTGGCTAAGAAAATGATGAGGCGCAAAGCCCAAGAGGCTTGTCCTAGACTACATGCTTAGAAGGTCTCTGACTCCCACCTTCCTCTTACTTTCTGATTTTAAGACTAGAACTTTTGACTAGTTAGAAATTAGTTTCTTCATGACAAGTTGGGGTTACGAAGACTTCTTCAGAGACCTCTATCTCTACAGTCCCACCTTTTCCCCAACTCCCTTAACAAAGCCAGTAGAGAGCCTTTACCCCTGCCTTCCTCGAGGTGGGCCAACCCTGGGGCTTTCTTTCTCCATGTAACCAGAAGGATTACAAAGTAAAGTCTAAAAGATTAAGACCACTAGAAACTGAGCGGAAGTTCTGTGGTTTTGTTCACGTAATGTCCTACTAACGAATTCTTAAAGTTACAACATCTTTGTCATTTCTAGGGTAAGCTATTTGTCTTGCTGAAACATTCATATATATGATTGTTTTTTTAAGACCCCAATACCTCAACAGGAGAGTTTCAAGAAGTTTAGATGGCAAGTAGGAAAGTAAATGGACTGTGGGGGCATAATGACCTGGGTTTGAATCCCAGCTCTCCTGTTGTTCCCACCTCACTGGCTTGATATAAAGATTTCATGAGATGAGGTTTATGAAGTCTGAAGACGTGGTAGCTATTGATTTCCAAGGAGCTCTGGTGACATAGTGCTTAAAGCATCTGACAGTTAACCAAAAGGTTGGCAGTTCAAACCCACCAGTGGCTCCATGGAAAAGAGATGAGTCAGTTTGCTTCCATGAAGATTTAAAGCCTTGGAAACCCTGTGGGGCAGTTCTACTGTGCCCAAAAAGGTCGCCATAAGTCAGAGTCGACTTGATGGCAGTGGATTTGGTGTTTTGGCATTCATTATGATTGTCTAGTCTGTCTTAGTCTGGAAGCTCTGCTAAGACCTGTCCACCATGGGTGACCCTGCTGGTATTTGAAATAATAGTGGTGTAGTTTCCAGTTCATAGTGACAAATAGTCACTACAGTATGAAAAACTGACAGATGTGTAGTGGCTAAGACTAAGACAGACTTAAAAGAAAGGCCTGGTTATCTACTTCAGAAAATTAGCTAATGAAAACCCTATGGAGGA